CGTTTTTGAAGCTTTGTTATATAAAATTCGTTTCTTTATTATGTAAAATGTATATGGGTAATACAAAGGGGAAAAAAACTAAAATAAAAATAAATCGAATAATGGCAATAGAACCTCTTAAAGATAAGCCCGAAAAAGCAGGGAATTAATCCAAATCATTTCATTTCACTTTTCTCGTTCCTGAAATCAAGGCAAAATATAATAAACTTTTAGTCGGCTAAGGATCAGTTTCTTCCGATTGATCTAAGGCTAAGGCACTGTATTTGTCCATAAGTTGGGATCAGAGTTCGGATCCTTTTATATTTATACCCTTGCAGGGTATTATAATTTCAGTCAGAAGTTTGCAACGCAGTGAAGGAGGCAATTCCGACCATATAAAGTATATATATTCTTGATCAGGATCAATAGCCGAGTCGATCTAGCCATGTCCGTCTGTCCGTCTGTCCTTCTGTCCTTCTGTCCGTCTATCCGTTTCTACTCAAATTAGTCTCTCAGTTTTGAAGCTATCTGAATGAAACTTTGCAGTTAGCCTTCTATATACTCTCACTCGTATATATGTCGGAACGGGCCGGATCGGACGACTATATCATATAGCTGCCATAGAAATGATCGGAAAATTTTTACAAAAAAAATTATAACATTTTAAGTTTTCAACAGAATTTGATCAAATTTTAGATATAGTCGTGTTATATTATTCTAAAATTTTTTGTAAAATTTAATGAAAATCGGACTACTATATCATATAGCTCCCATAGGAACGATCGAGAAAATAATACAATTAAAAAAAATAACATTTTCAGTTTTCAACAGATTTTAATCAAATTTGAGGTATAGCCATTAAATTAAATCTTAAATTTAGTGTGAAATTTTATGAAAATCGGACCACTATATCATATAGGTGCCATACAAACGATCGTTAGATGTGGAGCAAAAATGCAAATTTGTGACTGTAAAACTGCAAATATAATATGTATAGGTGAATGAAATGAAAGTAGGTATTACTTCATTGTTTTTTAACACAAATATATATAATTTATATTGTATGGATTCCTAGTCATAGAAGTTCTATCTGCAAGGGTATATAAACTTCGGCGAGCCGAAGTTAGCTTGTTATACCCTTGCAGGGTATTATAATTTCAGTCAGAAGTTTGCAACGCAGTGAAGGAGGCACCTCCAACTATATAAAGTATATATATTCTTGATCAGGATCAACAGGCGAGTCGATCTAGCCATGTCCGTCTGTCCGTCTGTCCGTCTGTCCGTCCGTCCGTCTGTCCGTCTGTCCGTCTGTCCGTCTGTCCGTTTCTACGCAAACTAGTCTCTCAGTTTTGAAGCTATCTGAATGAAACTTTGTAGTTAGCCTTGTATATACTCTCACTCGTATATATGTCGGAACGGGCCGGATCGGACGACTATATCATATAGCTGCCATAGGAATGACCGGAAAATTTTTACAAAAAAAATTTTAACTTTTTCAGTTTTCAATAGAATTGAATCAAATTTGAGATATAGCCATTTTACTAAACTCTTCAATTTTGTACGAAATTTTATAAAAATTGGACTACTATATCATATAGCTCCCATAGGAACGATCGAGAAATTAATACAATTAAATTTATAACTTTTTTAGTTTTCAGCTGATTTTCATCAAATTTGAGATATAGCCATTTTATATAAGTCTTAAATTTTGTGGCAAATTTCATGAAAATCGGACGACTATATCATATAGGTGCCATACAAACGATCGTTTGATGTGGAGGAAAAATGCAAATCAGTGAATGTAAAACTGCAAATATAATATGTATAGGTGAATGAAATGAAAGCAGGTATTACTTCATTGTTTTTTAACACAAATATATATAATTTATATTGTATGGATTCCTATTCATAGAAGTTCTATCTGCAAGGGTATATAAACTTCGGCGTGCCGAAGTTAGCTTCCTTTCTTGTTTTTTTTTAAATCCAATGAATCGCAAACTAACAAGCGAAGTCCTCAACAACTAACTGCAAAAAATTTACTTAATTTAAGATTTTCCAAGACTATATGCGAACATTTGTCGTCTTTTTTATCAACTATAGTGTGGTCTGAAGCTGCAGTATTTTAGAGAAGCAACTCAATAAGAGGAAAATCCAAGGAGACGAACAAGAGCCACAATTCTCCGTTGAAATTTCGTTCGAGAGGAAAGTAACATGTCCACCAGTTCATTAAATTAAGATTTTGATCTTTTACTTAATGAATTGTATTTCTCCCTATTTAATATATAAAATATTTCACAAATACAATTTTAATAAAGTGCCAATTATAATATTTTAGAATTCGGCAAATTATAAACATTTGAATGGCTGAGTGCAGGGAAAAAATAATTCAAATAGAAACAAGAAAGGAAGCTTACTTCGGCACGCCGAAGTTTATATACCCTTGCAGATAGAACTTCGATGACTAGGAATCCATACAATATAAATTATATATATTTGTATTAAAAACAATGAAGTAATACCTGCTTTCATTTCATTCACCTATACATATTATATTTGCCGTTTTACATTCACAGATTTGCACTTTGCTCTAAATCAAACGATCGTTTGTATGGCTCCTATATGATATAGTCGTCCGATTTTCATAAAATTTGACACAATATTTAAGACTAATATAAAATAGCTATACCTCAAATTTGATGAAAATCTGTTGAAAACTGAAAATGTTATATTTTTTAATTGTATTATTTTCTCGATAGTTCCTATGGGAGCTATATGATATAGTAGTCTGATATTAATAAATTTTTACACAAAATTGTAGAGTATAATAAAATGACTATATCTCCAATTTGATCACATTCTGTTGAAAACTGAAAATGTTATAATTTTTTTTGGAAAAATTTTCCGATCATTTCTATGGCAGCTATATGATATAGTCGTCCGATCCGGCCCGTTCCGACATATATACGAGTGAGAGTATATAGAAGGCTAACTACAAAGTTTCAATCAGATAGCTTCAAAACTGAGAGACTAGCTTGCGTAGAAACGGACAGACGGACAGAAGGACAGAAGGACAGACGGACAGACGGACAGATGGACATGGCTAGATCGACTCGGCTGTTGATCCTGATCACGAATATATATACTTTATATGGTCGGAGGTGCCTCCTTCACTGCGTTGCAAAGTTCTGACTGAAGTTATAATACCCTGCAAGGGTATAAAAAGGGGGAGAGCTGTAAGCCAATGAGTATAAAATGAGAAAAGTTAATCTTTTCCTCCTTTTTGGCGGGATTTCCCTCAATACTTTTGTAGACCATGTTGGACCATGTTGTCTTTTTTTTTGTGGATTCCAGATTCGAGTCTGATTAGGTGTAGTCCCAGGCAGAGGGACAAAAAGATTTTCCAAAACGAAACATCAGAAGGTGAACGCCTGCTTTGTAATAGAGCCAAAATGCCTAGGAACTTGTTTTCAAAGCGGACAAATTTTAAAACGATTCATATTTGCGCCTGCGTGCTGGAACCAGTCGTAAAAAGGATAGATTAAGCTATCTTTCCTCAAATTTTTATACTTTCTATTCAATGGTTACGAAATGACAGCTTACAAAAGTGGATATTTACCCTTATGCGGGCAGCTATAGTCACATCGAAATGCTTTTAATGTAACTAGTAAAACCCAAAACGGTACCACCTCCGATCAAATTGAAAAAAAATTTAAAAAATAATTTTGAACATTTCGCTTTTATGTATAGGTTATCCCAAATGCGCACTCTGAGGTTTTTTAGACCAACATCATTTAAGGTAAGGAAAATATGGTACATATGGGATATGCGCCTGAATTATATACAAATATTTACTATATTTACATTATTAATGTATAAAACGGAAAGACAGATCGCTGGGATGGAATCTCTTTAACCTTCTAAGAGATTACGGGTCGGCAAGCCTGCTAGCAAGTGGATTTGGGTGAACCACTAGCCTGTCCAAGTATCTTCTGCTGTGTAGGTGTAATAGGTCGCCCACGGGGACAAGGCGTAGGTCATTTTGGATGGCCTGGTTAGATGCCAAATGCCCTTCGAGCAGCACGTGCCTGCACCACCCTGAACCTATTTAAATTAATAATTCATTAATTAAATATTTTAAAAGTACAAGTTAAAAAATTTTTGCCATACTTTTAGGGCCACGTCATGAAAGCAATGAATTTTTTGCTGAAAACTTAAACAAATTATTTGTTTAAAGACAACTTTTCTTTATTATTGTTGACTCTAAAAAATGTATTTAAGATAACAAATTTTGGATAAAAAATTAACTTCCTGGCCCATAGTGCAAAGGTCGTACAAAACATAATAAAAAAAAAGTTATGAGTAAAAGAATTTATTACTTTCAACACATTTAACTTTATTTTATTTCATAAACTTCTGAAAAAAAAAGTTCGTTAAAGTCTCTGGATTGAAACTTGAGTATATTCTGTTAGCCACCATACACCCGAAAGAGAATATGTTACGAACTTTACATTCTACATGGGAATTCCTTTGCAAAAATGAATATTCGTCACCAAAAATGAGAGTTTGACCCCATGTATCTGTAAACGTGTAAAATGACTTTACAGACGTGTCAGATTCAAAATGTTAAGTAACAGCTTTGGATTCCTAAGTGACCAAATTAACAAAATCGTATCAGATATTTTGGTATTTTCAAAAAATGTAAAAAAAAATTAATCGTTGAGTAGCTTTTTTAATTTTTTATTTAATTTTTTTTTTTTTCATTTTAGTGAATTTTAAAGTTCAGATTTATAGTATATAGCATATTCCAATGCTTCCAAGCCACCGAAGTTCCACGCTTCCTTTTAAGAGCATCCACTATATGTTTAAGATATAAATAATTTATTACCATAAAAATATATATTCATTTTTACTTACAATTGAATTTTTAGTTTTTTCGCAGATAGAGAAGGGTAAACATCTATGTTCGGCAGGCCGATGTTTTACAAACATCGATAGCATCGATGTTGCTATCGATGTTCCCATCGATGTTTCTCCACCACCTCTACTGTGCATGACAATTTTTATTCAGCCGAATTGCCTTTTTTGTAACGAAAACAGGCTGTCAGTCAGTAGTAAACCGGCTCAGAAAACTTTTAAGCAGCATTTCGCAAGTAGCAACAAAATGTCGGCAACAGCAGGGTAAGTAGACAGCTGCCGCGGCCCCAGTCCCGGCTGCTATCGCGACTTCTTTTTGTGGCTTCTCTGTGCGTCGCGTGCTTTCTTGCGGCAGCGGCGGCGTCCATTTTCGACTGCCTGGCTGGCCGCTGGCGACGAACGATCCGCTCCGTGCTGAAGGAGCTCCGCATGGCGACGTCGGTCGTGGCGGTGCGTTTGTGGTGGGCGTGTCCCGTGCGCATCTGCATTGCGATATTTCTGGGCCAAATCAGTGAAGCAGCATTTGAGGTTATGTCTAGCTTCACGGATTTTCAGCATGGACTTTCGGCCGGTCGATCCGTACAGATATGCAAATGGTAGCCGGCAGCATTTGCATAGGTCTTGGCCTGTCCAGCGGGCTTCCAGAAAATTCGGCGCGGGCTGCCATGACAACCGCGCACCCTATACCGGACGCCCTGCGCCATACTCCTCAAGTTGTAATCTGTTTGTGTTTACCTAATGATGCGCTCATTTCAGATCTATTCCGCCTCCAGTTTCCTGGGCTCAGCGCAATGACTTGGTCTACGTCATTATTGATGTGGAGTGCAAGGACATCGAACACAAGTAGGTGCAGCTAGTAGTAGCTTAAGCGATAATCCATTAAACCGAATTGTGCTCCATAGAGTGACGGAAAACAGCTTCACCTTCAAGGGCGTTAACGTGCTGGATGCGTCAAAGAAGTACGAGGTCACACTAAACTTTCTGCACGAGGTGGATCCTGAAAAGGTCACCAGCAAGAATATTGGCCGCTGCTTAGAGTTCACAATACCCAAGAAGGCGGCTGGCCCCTACTGGTCTTCCCTGACCACGGATAAGACCAAATTGCATTTCCTGAAAGCCAACTTCGCCAAGTGGCGCGATGAGTCCGACGATGAGGAGGGTGAGTTTGAGAATCCCATTTGTTTATTGAATGCGCTATGCAACATCGGGTGTCGCTTTATGCAGGTGGAGATGCCAAGGACAACGGCATGTTTGGAAATTTCCTGAACAGCCCTGGTGGCGACTGGAACAACAAGTTCGACGACTTCAATGTCGACGAAGAGGAAGAGGATTCGGATGACAACATCCCCAGCCTATCGCAGAATGACGAGGATGAGGAGGAGGGCGGCGAAGGCGACAAAAAGAAGCCTGCTGCTTAGATGGTGTCTAGCATTTTGGCGTAGTCATAGCGTTGGCCGAGGCGCTTATACCATTAAGTCAACACGAACGCAACACTCTCCCTCTCCCACGCACTCAAGAAGAAATCACCCAGCCACATCGCCCATCAAAACATCCACACACGCATGCGTACATAATACACTATTCCAATCGAAAAGAAATCCACATTTAATTTAGATGAATATACGTATTCAGGGGAGCAATGTTAACAAGAAATAACACAAGGAACAAGATGAATTAGCGCCGACAAGGGAAACACATAAGTTTTACGCTAGAAATTAACAACCGGAGGAAAGCTACAACCAATTCATTGCAATAATCCTTTTGCAATTTATTATTTTTGTTTCCTGTAAATAAAGGAAATTACAATAAACAAAATTTAAACCCATACAGTAAACTTAATTTTAACAAGGGTAGCCGACTTTTGGAAATCGTAGTTTGTAAAATTTGCTAAAGGTGAGATATTCCTCTATTCTCATACTAGAGGATCGTTATATTTATTTTTTGATGAAAAACAACGTAGTCAAGTAATCGATCGTTATATTAATTTTGATGCACTTATCCCTTTTAATAATATTGAGAACATTTTAGGATTATACACAATAACTGTAACTGAAAAGTAACGTAATCAAGTAAATTATCATTTAAAATAAAATTGTTATATTTTATATATAAATAAATATTTTCCGATTGTGCTCCGATTTGTCCGTTTAGACATACACCTGAAAAAAAACTAAGCTATGTCTAACTTAAGCTAGCTGCTCTACTTTGCTTAGAAACTAAATATCCCTGATAGGGTGTAAAAATAGGTGGTTTTGGAAAGAAATAAAAGTAGCAGCTCAAAACGGATCGATTTCTACGTTAAATTCAATAAATTATATACCACAATTAAGGTACGAATGGATCTCTAAGCGATATCTTATCTGCTCTCTAAATTACATTCATAAAATTTGAAAATCTTTAAGTGACGTTATGGCTATGGGAAAGTAAGTAGAAATTATAATACGCATAATTCGGTTTTGAACTTCAAGAACACCAATTCGAAAAAAGACTTCCAAACAATGTATATAATGTTCATAAACACACTTAGAAATACACTCAGGAAGTAGAGCTTAATAAACACAAACTGAACCATATTTCTACATATTATGTGGATTACATAATTTATATCTTTTTTTTTACTAATTTTTAAGCCCGTTTACGGAAATTCGAAAATAACTATAGGAATACTTCTTCGCCAAAGATGTCATCAAAGGATGGGCCACGATCACTTTTTGGACTAACGAAAATAAACTTTCGTTTTTAATGAAGAACACTGAAAGGTTTTGTTTTCTTATGCGCCATTTATATATATATTCGCTTTGGAACGATTACAATTGCAATTACAATTACTTTACATTATAATTTTGAATTCCGCGCACAACTGGTTCTTTGGTTGCGTTGGCAACACTGTTACTGTGGAAACGCGGGGAAGAGGAAGCACACTTAAATGTGCGAAGCAGTCAAAGTGTTTCCATTCGGAAAATCTGATCTGGATTGTGGATGTCAAGTCATCGAACGAAATAGCCACGAGTCCAAGCCCCGAGATGAAACCAGCTGCAATTCCGGCGAACGAACGGCGTCTGGCCTTCCTGGCCGAGTGGTTCCACACGGAAGCAGGGATAATACGCACTTTCCTGATCACTTACTATGTGGCCGACAAGGCGGTAGAAGTGGTAAGTAATCTTGGCCAGAGTAGCCCGCAGATACTTCCTGGTAACATGTTACCCCTTGCCAGTTTGACCAGCGCAACAAGCGAACCTTCTTGCGTCGTACCAAGATTCCGGAGCTGACGCAGCGCGACTTCTTTGTTGGCTCCAAGATTAATGTGTTTGGCCGGCAGTTCGACATTGTGGATTATGCGGACGATACTACTAGAACCAACCTTGCCAAATACCGAAAAAAGTGGGTGTCAAGGTTCACCAGCCACCTCATTGTCTTATCCATAATACCATCCTCATTTCCTTCCAGGGGCTTCGTTCTTTTGAAGAACAGCATGTGGACCAAGCATCTCGGCAAGTTTCTAAAGGCGCTGATCGACAACAAGATCAACATAAACCACGGCTTGATGGTAGATCTCACACCCAAGATGGCCACTCAGTTCCTTTCCGGGAAGGACAAGACCAATGTCTCCAGCTCGTAAGTAGCACATCGCATAAATGGTTTTAATATACTCTTCGATTTAACCCTAGTGTCCTGATGAACGAACTGCTAGCTGGGCCGGCCATTAGCCTGGAGTTAATCGGGGACAACGTGGTCGAGATCATGAAAGCGTGTGCCAATTACAAAAGCCCCGACATGGAGACGTCCAATGTGAAGCTGCCGCCCGGCCTGGAGGAGCTCTGCGAGTGTGAGGAGATTCGTTACGGGTTTTACTACTCAGACAGCGATAACGACGTGGTGATGGACCTGCAGTTCTTCTTCGATGCAAGCCACAGCATCATTAAGGAATGCCAGTTTCAGAACACCACGTTAGCCATCATCAAGCCGCACAGCATCAAGGACGGCCTGTTAGGCCACATTGTTTCCGAGATTCTGGCTAATGGTTTCAGGGTGACAGCCATGCGCATGATTCTGATGGCGCGCATTAACTGCGAAGAGTTCTACGAGGTGTACCGCGGCGTCCTGCCCGAGTACATACCCATGGTTGCGCAGTTGGCCAGCGGAGTTTGCATGTGCATGGAAATCGCGTCCGTTGATTCAGACAAGCAGTCGCACAAAGAGTTCCGCAACTTCTGCGGCCCCATGGACCCGGAGATCGCTAAGCTACTGCGCCCGCACACGCTGCGCGCCAAGTTCGGTAAATCCAAGGTGCAGAACGCCATCCACTGTACCGATCTGCCAGATGATTGTAACCTAGAGCTGCAGTACATGTTTAAAATCGTCGAATGACCCAATTAGTTAGCTTAACTTAGCGTTAAAATATTTATTTTGAGTTTAGTGCGTGTGTGCGTGTATTAATAAATTACCAGTGATAAAAATGTAGCCACCTAGATGCTGTCACTACGGCTCGTGCTGGGCACATCCCGATCCTCCGGATCGATGTCCAAGCCCCGAATATAAAAGCCTCCCTTCCGTTCCTGCAGGGCGTAATCAAACGCCAACAGGGCAAAGATGATTATGCATACCAGCATAACCACCGCGTAGAAGAAGTACTCTGCCACTTGGGAGCTGAGCAAAGCCAGCTCTGTAACCAGGACCACGATAAGATTCCCGAAAGCATTGTTTAGGAACCAAGCAGCCGTGACCACAGACTTCATGGTGGTTGGGGCTTGGGTGAAGGCGAACTGTAGACCCGGAATTGAGAGTAGCAGTTCGCCCATCATGAGAAGCAGAAACTGTGGCATCTGCCAGGCTATGTTGACCGTTTGCAAGGGCGAATTCTACAAAAATTCTTTAGATGAAATGGCAAATATCCTGGAAATGGATAATTTCTCACCATAATGCGTTCTTGCACAGCTCCCGCACAAAAGAAAGCTCCGGCAGAAAAAATTCCGCCAACGGTCACGCTGTGGAGCGGCTGAAGTTCCCAGTTTAGGTAGCGCCGCAACAAAGGAACCGTTATGTACTGCCACAGGGGGATGATTATGAAGAGGAAAATGGGGCCGACGGCCTTGGCCTGATCGGGTTGAATGGTCACGCCCAATACTGTGGTGTTCATTTGGCTGGCCTGGAAGGTCCAGCTTGAGTCTTGCTGCGCCAACAGGGCGAAATAAAAGGGCAGCGGGATAAACAGCTTGGAAATCTAGAGAAGATTGTGGCACTCGTTATTGGAAGCAAATATCAGGACATCTTAACTTACCCTCAAAACGCGGGATACATCGTTTACGAAACTCTCGTCATAGGCCCCAACTGCATTGTGGAGCCAGTAGCTGGAACGCTTCGGGGACTTGCGACGCCGCCATTTCTCTACCAAGCCCGTTTTTATGCAGCCAAAGAACTTAAAAAGGATGTTGTCTGCGGCTAGCTTCTCGGCCTTGTAGAAACACTTTCCGATCAGAAAGATAACTGACATCACCGATTAGTTTTAATTCAAAGAAAATTAACCATTGCATACTCACACCAAGCCATCAGAAAGGCGCTGCCCAGGGTGCCGAATACGGCCGGATAGCACTCCGTCTTACTGAAACAGTGCGTGTTTGCCCGCACCAGGGGCGGAATGATCTTGCTCAGAAAAATACCGAAGTAGTAAACGAAATAATAGAAAGAGAAGTACTCGGACAGGTGAACGCTCTGCTCCGGTAGCTTAAACTGTAGGGCTCCCAGCGAGGTGATGCAGGCCCGAATGGATCCATTACCCACGGCTATGAATAGCAGGGCGATTGATACCAGCAGGCTAACATAAAGGTTGGGGTGTTACATTATATATGAACGAAATTTACATAAAAGAAATACTCACACCAGAGACACTGTCATGTTTGGAAGGGATGTCAACGTGAGCAAAAGCCATCCGAACGCATATAGGAAACTGAAGGCCGATATTGTGCGCACATTGCCCATGTAGCTATCCGCCAGGATAGCGCCAAATATGGGGCAGAACTGGCCAAAAAAGTTGAAGATGTGCAGCACTACCGTGGAGAAGCTCTCCGTAAAGTTGAGATCATCGCGCAGATATAGGGCGAGTATGGCTGAAATTTAATTAAATAACTCTTAATCGGTTAGCCGCCATAATCGTTATGCTACCATTAATCTCGATTTCTTGACAATGAAACGAAGGTCACCGCTGCAATCAAGACTGTGCCATATTTTGCAAAAATATTGTAAAATAAGAAAAAAAGAAGAAGTAAATTATCTCTGGAAAAGGCCGTCCACGTCATATAAATAGAAATGGAAGTGAAAGTTCAAAATTAATGTTTCGAAAATACTCAATACGAACAATACTCAATTTTTATATTGATTTTTTATTAAAAAATGAATTGCAAAAAAGTTTGAATATTTTTCAAGCCGAAAAGCAAAATTTCTACCAGCGTTTCTAACTAAAAACTAGTTAAATTGTTTGTAATTTATTTTTTGATAATGTGAATAAAGTTTAAATCAATGATAAACAAGAAAGGAAGCAAACTTCGGCACGCCGAAGTTTATATACCCTTGCAGATATACTTCTATGACTTGGAATCTCAACAATATAAATTATATTTATTTGTGTTAAAAAACAATGAAGTAATACCTGCTTTCATTTCATTCACCTATACATATTATATTTGCAGTTTTACATTCGCAGATTTGCATTTTTCCTCTACATCTAACGATCGTTTGTATGACACCTATATGATATAGTCGTCCGATTTTCATGAAATTTGACACAAAATTTAAGACTAATATAAAATGGCTATACCTCAAATTTGATGAAAATCAGCTGAAAACTAAAAAAGTTATAAATTTAATTGTATTAATTTCTCGATCGTTCCTATGGGAGCTATATGATACAGTAGTCCGATTTTCATAAAATTTTATGCAAAATTGTAGAGTATAGGAAAATGGCTATATCTGAAATTTGATCCAATTCTATTGAAAACTGAAAAAGTTAAAATATTTTTTTTTTTAATTTTCCGATCATTCATATGGCAGCTATATGATATAGTCGTCCGATCCGGCCCGTTCCGACATATATACGAATGAGAGTATATAGAAGGCTAACTACAAAGTTTCGTTCAGATAGCTTCAAAACTGAGAGACTAGTTTGCGTAGAAACGGACAGACGGACAGAAGGACAGACGGACAGACGGACAGACGGACATGGCTAGATCGACTCGGCTGTTGATCCTGATCAAGAATATATGTACTTTATATAGTCGGAGGTGCCTCCTTCACTGCGTTGCAAACTTCTGACTGAAATTATAATACCCTGCAAGGGTATAAAAATTGCATTGCAAAAACTTCTTGCAGATGCCTGTGTCACTTTTATCTCACTCTGATAAGAAGTATGTTTATGTTTAATTTGGAATACATAGCAATTTTTTATCCCTGAATGTTTAACATTTATTAAGAAGTTTACTAATTAAGATAATATCAATATCATCGAGATATGTATTAAAATTCGAGTTCTTCGTAAATGAAATCAATATTAATTTTATGAAAAGTTACATGTTTTACAACTTAAATATTCCTTTAATAAAATGCATCTTAGACCTTTTGACAGTTACAATAAGACTGTCCTGTGTTTGCGTTTCAGACGCTGATAAGCCGTATTTGGAATTTTTGTCGAGCAGACAAAGCCGAATAATTGTACTTAGTCTGCTACACTTACTGCGTATGCCGTTGGCAGCGAAAGCCTCAAAAAACTTGGTGGCCAGAACGAAGAAGACGGCACGGGGATATCTGTATTCCATGCGGATAGGCGGAGGAGCAAAGCCATAATTGGGCAGCGAGCTGCGCTGTGGCCGTTTCAGCAGGGTCCTCTGCTCACCTCTCCAACTGACCCACTGTAGATCCCGGCCTTCCCCCTGGGTTAACTCCGCCAGAGCGGGAAGGGCTGTACATAAGCGCACATGTAGTAGACGAAAGGTGGGAGGAGGATTACTTGGAAGATCTTATCTTATCTGCCCTCAGACTCACTTTCTTCGCTGCCGATTTCCGTAGCGCGAAACATTTTCCACAGCCGTGCACTTAATCTGACGTGAACGAACTGAATCGGAGAGCGAGCAGAGACCTGGGCCAGTTGTTGACTTCCAAGCGCTTCGGTCCGGATCAGGTTACAGAGTTGCGGCTTTTGTGGGTCGTTTCGGCTACCTCCACAACGCGCTCTATTGTTTGACGTTGGTTTTGTGCCGCGACTGACGACCACTTAGCAATGCGGTCCAAGAGCTACTAACGACGACAGAGATAAAGGGCAGTTGGAGCTGTTCGTTGCAGTCGCGATGCAGACAGCGCGGAGCTTGAAACTTGGAAGTAACGCCAACGCCACAGGTTATCTGTCTGGAGGCTGCTGATAAGCCAAAGACAAGCTCACCGAGGCAAACATAGTCACGGGACCCGGCTCAGCTGACTGTGGCGATAGGATGGAAGTGCGGGTACTAGACAGTCCCTGGCGTCTGTTTTTGTACAATTGATTTTTATTAAATTACGCACAAGAAATTAAAACTAGAAGTTCTTGGAGTCGAGGCTTGGGCCTGGCTTTTGATGATGATTGATCCTTCGATGAATTTCGCAGTTCTTGCCAAACTTGCACCAGGAGAGGCCAAATGTAGAGAAAAAACACGGAACAGTGAGGCAACTGAGAAGCAGACCACATCACACCAGCTTCTTGGCCTCAAAGAAACTCTTCAGGTGGCGCATCTGCCAGAAGCCCATGCAGACCAGCACGACGGTCTGGGCCAGCGACCACCAAAGCACGCGAGAGTTGGTACTTTCGCTGGTGTGGCGGAAGCGCTCCTCGCGGTAACGCTGGTAGTTCTGCTCCTTGGTTATTTGGTCCACCTGGTCGAGTAGCTGCCTTATGCGCAGCTGCAACTCAGTCAGCTTTTCCTTCTGAGCCACATTAGCATAGTCGATGGCGTGCTCGCCCACCTGGATGTCCAAATGGACGCGCAGCTGGGCGCCGCTGAACCAGGCGGTGCTATTGGAGTACATGCAGATGACGTGCTCGCCAGGTGTATGCGAGGTAAACGAGATGCGGCCCTGGGAGCTGTACACACGGGACAGCACGATCTTGTCGTCGCTATCCCGCACCTCCACATGCATTCCTATACCGGGGGACGAGGGCATGAATCCATTAGAGCGGGGATCGTACAGTTCCACCTTGTAGTTAACTGCAGAGAATAGAAATACCCGTTAGTGGCTTAATCTAACCATTCGAGTTGGCAATAGGCCTGTACGCGGCAGCTTACCTATCACTGTCGTTTCGTCGGGAACCTCCTCGATGAAGCACTTGCGCTCCGTCTCCGATATGTGGAAGTACAGGCCGCAGGCGCTGTGCAATGCGCACAGAACCAGGACCAGGCTGACAAACTGATGGAGCATTTTTGAGCTATTTGCTGTGACTTTTCCAAATAGTAGTTTAACAAAGTTAGGCTCGCCGACACGTCATATGAAAAAGTGCCAGATCGAAGTTAAGTGTTTGGCAAATGGAGATGACAACGTGACGAGATTTGCTCAGAAGCCGTCACGACCTGCTCGAATGTAGTAAAAATATTAATTTCTAGTACCGTATTAAAGCACTAATAAATCTAATTTAATCTTAGAAGTTTTAAATTTCTTCAGAAATGTGAATAATATACAAAATTTCGAATTGAAAACCACCACCTGCGATATTTTACTCACGCGTCCTTCTCTAATTAAAGCGGCCCGATATTCCTTTGGCCTGGCAACGCCGTCGCAACAGCTGTGCAGCTGTGTCACTTTTGTTGACGTTTACCTTTTTGCCAAAACATCGCGTGCAATCCATTTTGTTACGAGATAATGGACCTGATCATTCTCGTGGGGATCGCCACGGCCCTGCTAGTCGTGATAGTTACTCTGTACCTCCTCCAGAAGAAAAAGGCCGGCGTGACTACTGGTAAAAAAAAGCCATTGATTCTGTGAAATCCGACTAATCATTGACCCCAAACAGAAACTAAGCCAGGGGTAGCTGCCCCTCAACGTGGCGTCCCACAACGCGCACAGGAGGGTGTTCCGCGGCGTGCCCAAATAGCCAGGAACCAGCGCAATCGATTGCGCCAGAACGCCCCTGCTGCAGCTGCTCCGGCAGTTGGTGCTGCTGCGGCCCAGGCAGCTCACGCCGATTCTGACAACGAGGATGGGGCGAACGCCGATGCCGAAGGAGCGCGCGTTCCCCAGGGCGCTGTGCTAGATGAGAAAATGGGCGCTAAGAAGCGGGCCAAGATGGAAGCTAAGGAGCAGAAGCGGATGCAGCGGGAGCAGGAGCTTCATGATCGCGAGCAGCGCAAAGCGAAGGAGGCCAAGGATGATGCTGAGCGGAAGCAGCAGGAGGACATCGAGGCGGAGGCAGAGCGAAAGCGCATCGAGGCCGAGCGCCTGGCCAAGGAGGAACGTGAGCGAAAGGAGCACGAGGAGTACCTGAAGATGAAGGCAGCCTTCAGCGTTGAAGAAGAGGGCTTCGAGGAGGGCGACGTTGACGAAAAGGACAACCTCCTTGCCGATTTCATACAGTATCTCAAGAACAACAAGGTTGTCCTTCTAGAGGATCTCGCAGTCTCCTTCAAGCTAAAGACGCAGCAGGCTATTGACCGCATCCAGGAGCTGCAGGCTGATGGCACCATCACCGGTGTCATCGACGATCGGGGAAAGTTCATCTACGTTTCGGAGGAGGAGCTTGCTGCGGTGGCGAAATTCATCAAGCAGCGCGGCCGTGTCTCCATCGCCGAGCTGGCCGAAAGCAGCAATAACCTTATTAATCTGACGCCCGTATCCGCCGTCGGCGCTGAAGGTAGCTCCTGAGATTTGTTAGCCATTTATAAATTAACTTTATATTTAGGTGCAATCTGTTGATAGAATAACAAGAACAAAACGAAAAGATGTGCATGAATGATGTCCGAAAGTCGAAAGTCTGATTTATGATTTTGCTGAGTTCCCACTCGACGTCGAGTCGTTGGTTTTGCAATCTTCGCATTCGCAGACCAACAAGAAGGTGTTGCCGCTCAAGTGTCCACTGCGATTCCTCTGTGTGCCGGTTAGTAGGTTCATCAAATTAAGATTGGATGCGTAGTACTGAGGACTTCCTGCAGTTGCTTGTAATCTCTTGCTTAAGTACTTTTCAACAACTGTGTGAAAAATGATGTTTAGCAATCAGTTTGTCTTACGGATTGAAACCACTTACATTCATTTACTCTGCTTAGAAGCGTTTCGTTGATATTCATTTGCTCTTTCTCATTTGTTGATTCCGGATCCGAAAACTGCCTTATCCATTGGAAGATGGACAATTTGGAAACTCCCTCACCCTCGGGTCCAATGAGTTCCATAAGTGCGTTGTAAGCCTCTAACGTTTTGAACTAATTGGATTTAAGAGGGATGCAATTAGGTGCAGTTAAGGAATCAACAAACACCTCTACTTACCCTGGCCAATGTCTTCTCACTGAGAACTTTGCAGAAGGCTGCGTACAAGAACGATAACTTATTTAAGCAATGGATCATGTGCGCAAATACGAAGACGATGATTATAATTTGGAGTATTGACCACCAGACCATCCTAGAATAAATGGTATAATTCGTGCGGCGAAATTGCTCTTCGAGAAAGCGTTGGTAATTCTGCTCTTTGTAGATTTGCTCTGCCTGATTCTGAAGCTGTAGAATTTTTAGCTGCATTTGATCTAGCTTATTCCTCTGTGCCATACTACCGTAGTCCATAGTGCGCTCGCCCGCTCGAATGTCCAAGTGAACGCGCAACTGGGATCCTTCAAACAAGGCGGAGCTGTTAGACTTGAGGCAAAGGGAGTGGTCACCCGGCCAGTGTGTCGTAAAGGAAAAACGACCCTCCGAGTTGTAATGGCGTGAGAGGACGACCCTTCGATCGCTGTCCCGCACCTCCCAATGTATTCCTATGCCGGGGGACAAGGGTACAAAACCGTTGGTGGTCAGGGGGTCCCTCACTTCTGCTTTGTAGTTCACTGTGCCAGGGAAAATACGAAGTTATTAGTAGTCTCTATCGTTTGCGAGCTCTTACCAGTCACGGTAATGTCATCCGGCGTCTCCTGAACAAAGCACCTACGCTCAGTTTCGGCCATAAAAAAGTACAAGCCGAAGGCATTGTGTAGAACGGACAAGACAAAGATGAGGTAGGCGAGTCGATGTTGCATATTTGATCGCTTTAGGGTAATATCAAAACAAATATTTAAGCGATTTTCTGCGCACTTTGCGATATCTGTTGAAATACAAGAGGTCGCGCTTCATAAAAGCTTGTGATGAACAGTGTTGCTTAACGTTCTCAATTGCCAGAAATGGATGGGGTAGATTTATCTATACATGTTCATATAATGGCACTCCGAAGCTTATATACCCTTGCAGATTGCAATTGGGTGATTAATAATTAATATAATATAAATTATACACATATATTAATGTATTTTAAAAACAACGAAGAAGTGCCTACTTTCGTTACATTCACCTATACTTATTAAATTTACAGTTTTGCATTTTCCTCTACATAAAGTAGTTCGATTTTCATAAAATAAAAATGGCTATATCTTACAATTTTATATTTTCTGATCCTTCCATTGGCCGTTATATGAAATAGTAGTCTGATCCTTCCTGCGACTTATACACAAATGCGAGTACAGTCGAATCCCGATAATTCGTACCCCGCTAAATCGAAAATCGCGATAATTCGTAAAAAATTCTGTCCCCTTGAAAAAAACTCGTTAATTCGTAAAAATTCCATACATTTTGGTCCCCTCGTTAATTCGTAGTATTTGGCGCAACGCAAAGAATATTGAACCTCTTATAAATCGTAATTTTGTTTCGAAACCTCTTATAAATCGTAATGCGATGCGAAATATTTAGACGACGTTAGATTTTGCAGACATCAGAACGGAGAAGAAATTTTATAGAATTTACAAACCAGAGCATTAATTCCTCAACTTAAACATTATTTTTCGACTCATGATGTGCCAAATAGTGTGTGACAACCTAATAGGTTTAGAAAACGCAATGGAAAAAATAAAAGAAAAAAACACGAAGCAATCAAAAATTACCAATTATTTTAAAGCTTGAAATTTCGTTTTTAATAATTTAATGTTTCTGCTTAATTTTGTTTGTTAATTTTTTGTTTAATTTTCCTTTAATTTGAAAAACGTACACATGAATGTACATATTTATTATGTTTGTTTAATTTTAATAAAGCTAAACACATATGTAAACATGATGTGAAATGTAAGTACCCTGTTTATTCGACTCTTTCATTTTTGAGCCCCTTTAAATAGAAATCTCGATAAATCGAATTCCCGTCTAATTCGTAAAAAAAGTGATCCCCTTGCCATTTCGAATTATCGGGACTCGACTGTATATGGAAGACTAACTGCAAAGTTTCATTCAGATACCTTAAAAACTGAGAGACTAGCAGCGTAGAAACGGACAGACGGTCATGGCTATATCGACTCGACTGTTGATGCTTATACTATATATATGTATGTATATTTACATGTATATATGTATGTGTATAGTCGAAAATTACTCCTTTACTGCGTTGGTTCGGCGTCATTCTCCCTTGAGAGTCCTATACTAAATCATGTGGTTCGGCCATTTTACATGAAGATAATTTGCTAGCATTGGTTGTCTACATTTACATTTTTAGATGCTGAATAATACTAAGGTTACATTTAATTATAAGGTAAAAAATATTATTTTAAAACTTTTATCTCACTGCCTAATCATATAGAGACCAGAACGGGATGAAAGATAGCTTCGACACGGATTAAGAATAAGATTCATATCCATGATTTACGGTGTTAAGGGGCTTCGATCTAAAAGTGGATTTCCCATCCATGATCTCGATTTAAATATGTACAAAAATACTCGTGTATGATTTACTGATGACAAAAAAGAAAAGTAAAAAGTACGGAAACTATTCTAGTTCATATCGTCGTCGTCTTCGTAATCATCCATTTCATCATCGTCCTCACTTTCGTCGCTGGTCACATCGGGATCGGAGGCTTGAGCACGGCACTTTGGACACTGGCAGACGAATATGTAGTTCTCGCGCAGGACCTTGTGTCTAGAATGACGGCTCCGTTCTAACATGCACTCATCGAGATAGGAGATACAAATTTCGTCGCCCTCCTGGATGGGTACCAACGTCTTCATCACCACAATGTCGTTTGAGTATGGAAATGTGGAGCAGGCATTCGGCACGCAGCTGTGATTGATCTTGCTCTGGAGCAAGTACAGACCAGAGCCTTCGTTGTTCAAGAATTCGCCAGCAACTAATCATAGGGGAAACGGAAAACTGATAAAGAATATTTTCGCAATAAGTAATAAGTCTTACATTCTCCCACTTTGGCGTAGAGCCCATCAATAACTGTGTCTAGCTGCGACTTGTCAGCATCCGGCAGAGGCAGTTCGGAAACCTTGGTTACCCACTGTGATAGTACGCTGGTCGCAATTCCCTGGCTATTGGTGCCCATAATTCCCATCAGCGTTTTAAAGGCATCGGGAGTTGTGAACTGACAAGTCAAGGAACACTTTTTAAAAAGGTTTTTAAGTAGTAGTTTAGGTTGGAATAAATACCAAGGCAAACTCCTCGCCAGCGAAGGCGTTGCAGAACGCTCTATACAGCTGCTCCATTTGCTGCTCAAAGTTTTCGCCCAGCATTTTGTGGTAGATTTTCTGCTCGCGGTTGACTATCAATGCTTGAAAGGATTGAAGCTGCTCGAGAAATTCCGCCTTTTTTGGACTCTGCTTGTACAAGGCCATCAGGCGCACAATCAGCATAATGCTGCCCGTCTCCGGCGGATAGTGCATCTTCTTCCACGTCTCATTGAGCACGTTGATGGGATGGGTGTCGTCGGCGCGGAATGCGCCCATGCAGCCCTCGCGATGGTAGCGCTTGTGAGCCTCCATACGGCAGTCTTCGGAGCAGTAGTGAACTTTGCAGCGTGGGCACTGTGTAAACTGGGCCACCCAAGCGGCCGTGGGGTCATGTTGCAGCAGAGGGACCTCAACCTTGGGGTCGCTGGCTAGGCGACGAACATTCTCTAGTACCGTTTCCAGCGGTCTCATACAATGGTCGCAGGCGGCATAGCCGTAGGCCACGTTCCATGAGAACTGTTTGGACACAAACGGCTCCTCCTCAAAAATCACCTCATCGGCCGCAAAGTTTTTGGTAGCGATCATGGCACGCCCCTGGAAACGGAACGTCAGTTGGGGTACAAAGGCGACAAGGACATGAGCCCTTACCTTTCCGGGTATTTCCCGGATCTCAAAGTGGTTCATCCTTCTTGTTTGTGTCGTAAAAAAACAAAATTTCCAATTGCACGTGTGAGACCGCCATTCGCAACGGTGCGCCGACACAGCTGTGTCGGCCAGTCAGCCAGAACTTGATTTGCCGCTTGGCGCTATTTCAAATTGTTTTTAGTACAACTATACGTTATTATTGAACTTATCCTATTTTCAGGTTCAGATTAAGAAATTTCAAAAACGTTTATTGAATCTGAAAAAATATAAAAGTCAATTGTTTTGTGTTCTCTAAAAATTTGCGTAAGCTTTATCAATTTCCCAACTCAATCTATTTCCGACATTTAGAGAAACGTTGTACGGCTTTATGATTTGTTTCACTTGTTTCGAAACCACTCCTTTCGAACTGAAGCTACTTTGCTTAAACTTCTACCACATATTCTTGTTGTTATTAATATCTGCTGCACGAAGATCAATTTTATTATATAATTTGACCTTTGACAAATCGTGAATAGCCGTTTACTTTTTTATGCCGCCCCTTGGTTTAATTGAAGTTTTCCATTATTATAAGCAAAATAAGATAATTAGCCATGTCTATAATCCTTAAATTTAAGCTATTATGCTTTGGGTACAGGTAGGTTGCAATAGACTAGCTTTCCATCTTGTTGATTAAGGACGTCTTTAAAATATTATGAATTTCTCGAAACTATAAATTCAAAATTTAAATTTACATATTAAATTACTTATTCAGTACATTTTACAATAACAAAACTAGTTTGATATTTACTGCGCTCCTTAATTTAGAAACCATGCAGCAGAACAAACTTATTTATAATCAATAGAACGATTCTAAATTCCCCATTGGAATAGTTTATACGTTTAAGTATAAAACATTAATTTGAAATGTAATGTGTAATGAAATGTATGTGTATATTAAAACGATGAGACCAACGCAAACAACCAAACTTACCAACAATTAATAAACAATTTGTACTTGCAAAATTAATTTGAACACCCTGCTGCATTCTAAAAACCCAAATTCTGAATAAAACGTCAAATCTGACTTGTACTGTACTATCATATAATAATAATAATCAATTACATCGTTTAAAATTTAAAGACACTAATGTAATTTGTTTTGTTTTCGTTTTCTTGTGTGTGTTGTGTATATATAAACATTTTGTTAACAGCGTTTGTTTTTGTTTTGCTTTTAGTTGGTTGTTGTAAAATACATAATATTTCATAATTGTAATAATAATATATCCTTAACAACTATTAATATTCAAATATAATTTTCTCTGCTTTATAATTATTGTTGTTTTGGGTTCTCTTAGTTATTGTTTTAGCATTTGTTTCCGTTTCCTTTAGTGTTTCTGTTTTCCTTGCTGCAGCTGAATCTGTTTAGATTGTGTTAAATTAATGGTTTATTCACTAACCAGTGCCATCTCTCGCGACGCGGGCGTCGCTAGTGCCTGACCCAAGGCGGAGGCGGCGGAGACGGCGCTGCTTAGGCCATCCTCGTCCTCTTCGGATACTCTCGCCGCAGCGGTTGCCTTTTTGTGCTCTATCTCCGCGAGAACCTCTTCGTCATCCTCCTGGTCATCATCACAATTGCTACGCTCGACATGGTCGGCGGCTACATCATCTTCGTGCGCCTCATCGGCGAAGGACACTTCCACGGGGCTGTTGCCGCTATCACCATTAGCTGTTGCTTCCGTCGTCGTCTCAAGCCGATTGTTGTTGGCCTTATCCTCACTGGCGGACTTGTTGTTATCACTGTCAGCGTCATTGCTCTTGGACGTCGGCGCCGTCGGCTCCTCCTCGGGTATGTCTTCGATGAGGCTGCGATTGCCGGATCCGGCTGACGGACTGCGAGGCGGGGGCGTTGTCGTTGACGATGTGGCAGCTGGTATCTCCACTTCGGTCACCTTGCGCAGCAGGACGGGATCGGAGGCGCGCAACGAGCTTTCCGATCCGCCGACGCCTTCGCCGCTCGGCCGTAGCACCAGATAGAGCAGGATGTCCGACAGCGAAATGATGCCGATTACCTTTCGCTGCTCGTCGACCACCACCAAGCGATGCACCTCGGCACGGACGATACGCTCCATGATTGTATAGAGCGACTCATCCAGATTGCACTTCTGCACACCCTCGAACCATTCGTTTCGGTGCTCGTTGGCCTTGCGCAGCGACACATCGAGATCGTTGTAGGTTTTCTCCGCGGCGAGATTCTAAAGACAAGAGGATATGCGTAAGATGTATTAATAAAAAATAAGGATTTTTAAACTAATTCGTGTTGTACTTACAATTACATCAAACTTTGCATAGATGTCGACGAGCCGTCCCTCGGCATCCACTAGCGGTAGCGCCGAAACGCGTCTTTCCACAAACTTCTTCAGCGCCGTGATAATGCTCGTCGTTTCGTCGGCGGTCTCGATGTTATTGTAGGTGCCAATCTTCAGTTCGCGCAAACTCCTTTGCATGTAAGCGGGCTTTGGTAATTCATTAATCTGCAAGAGGTGAGGATTTTGTTAATACCATGTTAGGACGGCGGGAGAAACACAGCTGGAACTTACGTATAGGAAGAGGAACCTCAGTATGCGTTTGTGTGTCAAGATGTAGAGGACATTGCCGGTTGCCGGGTCGATGACGGGCAGGCGATGAATGCGGCTATGGATGAGAATTTTGATGGCATCGTAGAGGGAGGCATCCGGTCCGATGCTTACCAATGGCATCACCTGGTTGTGCAGTACACCTAAAGGGTAAATTAGTCAGTTTGGTTTAGAATCTTTTTACATAGGAGTACCGAATAGACTACTCACTTCGCCACGTGTCCAGTTTGTGCTCCTCCAGCTGCTCCATGGACGCGTTGGGTGACTTGTAATACATTTGAAGGATCTTGATAAAGTCCGTGATGGTCAGCATGCCCACAAACTGCTGTTTCTCTGAATTCCAGAGCGGTGCTGCACGCACCCCGTTGTAGACCAGGGCGTAGAAGGCCTTCTTCACGAGCAGCTGCGTGTCGAAGACAACCAGTTTGGCGGAGGTGGGTATCAGATCATAGCACTTGTGAAAGCGGAAGAACTTCACGAAGATCTGTGAGTCGTCCTCCTCTGCAAAAGAAGAATAACAGATATTTATTAGGGACATTCAATAACCGAGTCAGACACATGTTTTGTGGTTGATCTGAATGTTATGAGAAGTCTGAGGTGGGGCACCTTTCTTGAGAAGCTCTGCTAGCAGACGCTTCCAGGCCTCTGAGATCTGCTCGAACTCTTTGATGCTCTCCAAAGGGTAGCAAAGGACGTCGGCCGGGCGACCGCTGCCACCGCCGAGCACCAGGCGACCCGCATGATTCGAGTAGAAGTGCAACTGTAACATGCGTTCTGGCTTCTCGGAGTGCTGGCGTTTCACTCGTTTCTAGCTGCCCTGTGTCGGGTCCTCAGTGTCTCATTACGCTACTCTGATCCGAACCGATCTGATCTGGTGTTGCCTGAGGTCTGTGGGCGCTAACAATTAACTGGGAGACTCGATTTGCTCTGCTAATTGGTTTGCTCCTCTAATTGGGCAACAAACTAGCTAACAGGCCACTAACAGCCTGCGCCGCTCTACGCACTTCTCACAGCGTCTAGTTGGGCCGAAGGAGCAACGCACAGAGATCGCAACTGAGCCCAAACACACAACAACATTCACCGAAGTGGACCGACTGGGTTACCAACCAATTCAGTATCATAAATTTCTGGGCGCGCTCTTTTCGAAATATTAAATTAAGACATTTTTAATTAAAATAAATTTAGCGTACGACAAACGCGACAGACGCGGCAACAAGCACGCCAAACACACCAGAATAGATTCACCAAATTGTTCAACAATAAATATTATTTCAATTCTGAGCGAGACAATAGGAAAGCCAAAAAGAGGAGGGTGGGTAAAATTTAGACGGTTCTGGGCACAGTAAGTAAACAAATAAATATTGAGGCGGGTCTAAAAGGTGTTAATCATAAATTAAATACCACACACAAATGTATATTATTATAGGGATTCTAGTAGATCTGCCTTGTCAGAGGTCTGATAAATGCAAGCCAAACACAACACACCGACCGTTTTCAGTATTTGTCGGAGCCATTTTAGCGACACAACAGATATTGAGACGGACAGTTGTGCCAAGAAATTAATTAACCAATGCGAACCGGTCTCAACACTACATTTTCGAATGTCTATGGCGATTTATTCGTCTTCTTATTATGGGGAGAATGCATTTGGAAATAATTTTTGGTACGTTTTTATTATTTATAGGCCATAGATTATTATCGTTTGATTTCTTTGTTGCTTGGTTTTCATACCCTTGTAGGGGGTATTTTAGTCAGATGTTTACAGATCAGTGAATTAGAGTTAATATATATTTTTAATTAGCATCACCAGACAATTCGATCTAGCTATGTATATCTGCCTGTCCTTTCCTTCTTTTTCAAATAATCTTTTTCAACTTCAAGCCGGAAACAACCAGATCAGACCACTTTATCTAAAGCTTTATCAGAAAATTTTTATACATATTAGACTAGATCAATAGAAAAATGATTCAAAATGTGACTATAAAACAATAGATACATAAATAACGTTATACTAAACTTTAAGACTATTTAAAGTGTTTTGGAAACGCATATGTCTCACTGGTTTTATTGTGGTCCAAAGGTTTTTTACGTTATTTCGTTTAAAAGTATTTAATATATGTACATATATGTATGTGTCGCTATGATGTCTACCGGAAGATAAGAAAACAGACAAACAGAAGGTTAAAATAAGATGAGAAATATTATAGGAAAGAACGGAAACCAACTTCAGTACGCTAAAACTTCTTCGTTCCATTTTGATTAAATAATAAACAGATACAAAAACCAAAATCTACCAATCGTTCCTACGACTGCCATCTGATATTGTTGTCTATATCATATTATGTCCGATTTGTAGAAAAATAACAAAGTCAATGTATATATTACTTTCCCATTCATGTTTCGCTTTTCATATAGGTACATAGACGGTAAGTTGTCCGATCTGGTATGTCCAGAACTCAAAAATAAGAGACTGGTTCGGACTAGATCGACGCGACTGTTGGTGATGATCAATGTGCTGCAAACTACATAATACCGCACTAGGGCATAGAAAGGGACAGCCAGAGGGTTTACAACAACTGGCAAAATGATTTTCCGCCAAAAGTTGTGTAAACATTGAATATTTTTTAATAAATGGAAATTAGTGCAGCTAGACGCCGGGGCTTGAATGTCGAAGAAAACAGTGATAAAGAAAGAGCTAATTCCCTCGCTCTCCCAGAGAGAAAGAGCTCTGTATTATTGATTGGCTTCCAATGCCTATATTCATTTACATATATACAAATATTAGTCTGCATACAGAGGTAATTGCAAATATCTATATATGGGTTATTGTTTCCCACACTACGGGCCACACGAGTTAATTGAAATGCTCCTTGGTATTGTCGGGTTTTTGTTGATTATTCTACTTCTTTGTGGCGGCTATATGTTTGTATGTATGTGTGTGCGCTTGTGAGGGATCAAAACAATTGCAAACCCATTTCCACAGTGCGTGGCATTGGGTGGCAAGTGCTGGGCACAAGGAGGTACATAGGTGCGAGGAGGTTGTGTCTCGGTTCAGTTGCTTTTGGCGTCGCGGCGCTATTCGAAAATTCCTGACTAATGACTAAGAGCCAACAGAGGCGAAGAAGACCTTCGAGGAACCGACTTCGCCTGCCTGGCAGTTGGTCAATTCAGTTATTTGGCTTTTCGTAAGTAATATGCATAATCACTCAAGAACTTCGGCACATATGTATAGACGAGGCGTATAGAGTGCTCAGAGCGACGCGGGCGAGATTCTCCGTTGCCAATAATAATTCCACGGAATACCCGTAAAACACACGGAAAATTGTCGAAATTTTCGTCGTCTGCCCGTCTTTCGTTGGCGACGTTCTAAACGATTCGAAATTTTATCATAAACTGATCTGCAGTCCGTGTGCTAGTGTTCTCTTCTCCCTCTCCCTGTCCTTCTCCCTCGCAATCGCGCTCTTGGGTCGAAAGTTTTTCGTCAGGGAAAAGCGCAAAACAAACAAAAGATACTCGCAGATAGAACAAAATACAAATCGGGAAAAACGCCCCGCCGAGTAGAGCAGAAATCTCTGAAACGAATCCGAAAAGTTCTCACAGAGCACACTACATTCTATAAATTGAATATAATCTTTGGTGGGAGATCGGTTTGGATCGGATCGGTTGGGAATTGACGTTAATGAGGATCATGAAACGTCTGAAATGGCCAACAAATTACATGCACTATTTTTCTGCTTTTCCTATCCTCTGTCCACATCTACCACGTTCACGTCTCTTTTTCCCCAAACGATCTCCGGCGTACTTGGAACTTATAATTAGCATTTTTACTGAACTGAAACTGAAAAAGCGAAAAAAAACACAAAAACAAATAAAACTGGGGGGGGGGGTGTTCGGTTAGCCCACGTTAAGCTCTTTCCCTAACCAATCTGAGCAGGAATATAGAAAATAGTATATAGGTATCCACATATGTATCTATGTTTCGAACGCCTCAAAACGATCACAGAACGTGTCGCATTTTAGTCTGCACCCACGCCAACAAGTGGATGGACCATTCCTGTTGCTAAATCCTCCTCCTACCCTAATCCTGTGAATTATGCCTTCGATTCCATGGGCTGTCTTCTTCTCCGCTCTATATACATACATATATGTATGTATACCTCTGGCAGGGTTTTCTGTTCTATTAGTTCTGGCGATGGCGTCGTGTGCCCACAGAATGCCATCAGAGGCCGACTCTTGATCGAATGCCAAGTGTGTTTGCTAATTTATTTAAATTAAACATTCTTTTTTATATTCTCAGGGGGAAAGGGGTAGAGTGAAAGGGGGCGCCACTTGAGGGGGTTGTTTGAGAACTTACCCAAATCAGATAGATTTACTTTCTCTAGGAACGGATCGGCCACGGGTAACTGTAATAAAAGAGTAAAATGTTAATACAAGAACATTATTCAAATGACACTAAAAATGTAAAAGAAATTCCATTTACTTTTTAAACTCATACCCCGCTTATACGAACGGCTAAATACACCTGTTAATTACATAACCCACTGCGCCGTAAACTATTATTAACGAAACAAACGAACAAACTTAAAGTCGTAAAATGCACATACGTAACGCAGGTTATTTTAGTTGGAAAATATTTAACACCTCGTTTCACAATCTCCGCCATATTCCTCTACGCTGGCCACTTATATTCAGATTTCCTTTATATGAGTCGCTACGATTGGAACTTTTTGAGCGGAAAACGCAGAAGGTGAAGAGAACAATACGATAGCTAGAGTAAACAATGGGGGAACAGTTCGTAAATAATAGTTCTTAATTGCGCTGATATAGTTCTCATACGTGTTATCTGTTAATCAAGCAAGCGAAATCACAGATAAAATCCGAGGAAAACAAAACCATTCCAACTCCAATGAAATATTTACGAAAGGGGGTGCTGGTCGTTCGTTCGAGTAGTTGCTTTGAATTAACATTGAAATGTGCAACTGTGGGATTATGACACATTAGTGAGGGACGAGGGAATCTGGGAGGGGCTCCATATCACACACAGCAATTGAAAAATTACGCTCACATGCGAGCGCACAAGTTAATTTTGGTTTAGCGTAAACGTTTGTATTGGCGCGGACGCTTCCCGCCATCGCCTCCCGCTGCGCCCTCAACAAGCTAATGGGGTCAAGAAAAGTCTGCACAGTGGGAAAAATAATCGTATTTTAAAATTTTAATTGATTCAGGATAGATTTCGCTATGAATGCTTTTAATGAATTATTATTATTATTTGTGTCAACTTGTTTTGATTATCAACTTATTGATTGCAAAAATAAACTATATCTTGGAAAACAGTCCGAATCTGTTTTGTTTTTAACATCTTAAAAAAAAAAGATTTTTATTATTGAACTCTGAATAATCATTGATTGTAAATGTAACAACAACAAACCAGAGCGCTCGTATATAGATATCAAACTGATACCACTAGTAAAAATACTAAAAAATGGTGTGCGATTCTAGTATTAAGTTAATAATAAGATAATACCGTTTTGCTGACCTCAATCGATCAACTAAAGCTCTATTTTGACTCGGTTAAATATCGACTCGGTTAAATATCCCTAGATATATCCAATGTACTTAGTTGGTGAAAAATATTTATCCCCCATTTGGTCTAAATTTAAATTGCAGTGCACTCTCATCCGAATGCATCTGCTTATCAGAGCTCCGCCATAGTACTGGTCACGACTCTACCTCTACTCTTGACAATCTCTCTGCGGTTTTCCTTTGTCTTCAGTGCTCCCCGAACGAAAACTCACGCTGATCTTGCGTCCGGAGCGAGGCAGCATTTGTTGCTGCCGTTTCCACTGCTCGATCTGCTCTACGCTGTAATCGCTGCGCCGTCGCATCAGTAGGCACTGATGCACCGGCGACTGGGTGCGGAGGGGCGAGGAGTGTGCGCTGCTTACACGCCGTCGCTCATAGACGAGTGTCTGATGCACTGCCGCAGCGGCGGAGGCGGCGGCAGAAGGTGAATGACCCAGTGAATGGCGGGCAGCATTGCCAATTGTGTGGCTGCTGTTCCCAGGTTGCTTGTGCTGTTGCAGTTGTTGATGTAGTTGCTGCTGCTGCAGCTGTTGCTGAAGTTGTTGCTGCTGCTGTTGTTGACTGTGATTGGTATGCGCCTTGCGTCGCAGCAGCGATGACGACATGGCCGCCGTTAAGGTTGCCTTCAACTTGTTGCCTTCTTTCGGAGGCTTACTTTTGGCTTTTGCTGATATGTTGCTTTGGCCAATATGGCTAACGTCGCCGTTGCTATGGCTAATATGGCCCGGGGTGTCATCGCGCCGGCTTACGTGCTGCGAGTGGCGTTGCCCGTCAACGAGATCGCGAAGATTTGCACTGTTCAACAGCTGATAGTTGGCGCTGGCCGTCGGCCCGTTTTGCGTTGACACGAGCGACGGCAGATGGCCGTAACGCTTCTTGCGCTCATACAGGGGCGAGTTGCTCAGCGATCGGGCCTTGCGTCCGCCTTTCGAACTCGTATTCGCATTTGCATTTTCACTGCTGCTCAGATTGTTGTTGCTGTCATTAGCTTTGGGTAAATTTGGGTCAAAGCGCACGCTTAATTTCGATGGCTTTGTTGCTGCAGTTGCTGCAGATATAGCTGCTGTCGGGGGAGAGGGTAGCACGCCCACGCGGGGAGTGCTCGGCTCGAAGGCGGAATAGCGGCGGCGATACATCAACACAGACGCACCTGCACACACACGCGCACGGATCTATCAACAATGACGACACGACACTACTTCACTGCCTCCGTGTTCCGTTCCGTTTCACAATTTCGTTGTTTTTTTTTTTATTCCGCTGTTGGCTCCGCTTTTTCACGTCTGCGATCACTCGAATGTAAACTTAAAGTGGTTAAAAGTTTCGCGAGCCCCAAACGCAGCCCCACACATGAGATCGTCCACACCAACAGAGAGCGTCAGTAGAGAGAGAGAAACACACAGGGAGAGCAGGAGCTGGCTGGCTCACAGTGGGGTGTTGTACCCCAAAAGTTTGGATCTACTCTTAATTGAAATGGAAATTAAATTTTTTTTTATATGAAAATTTACTATATCATGTAGCTGTCATTAGAGAAACAGATTTCATTTATTTACTATTTTAACAAGCTAAATATTATTTTTCGTTTTGTTTTAGGGTGTTCCTTTTTTTGTGTAATTACTTATTTCTTGGTATTATTCACCACAATCATAAAATATATAACATATTTACAGCATTCATAAAAAAAATTTCATTGTAAATAAATAAATAAATAGTTATACCAAACGTATTGAATCCCCTCTTTGGCTGTATGGTAGCCACTGTGCTGCCTAGATGAGCGCGAGAGTACTAAAGCTTGAGCAAACAACAAGAACACACCAGCAACACAAGCTGCAATGTAAATGTAACGAAGCAACAACACTCTGCAGTGTACATACACTTTGAGATTATAAAGCTAACAAAAAATAATAAATAAACTAAGAAATATTTTGAATTTGATAGAAATGAATTTATTTTAGAGTAGACCTTAAATTCTTTATTATGTATATATGGGGATTCGAACGCATTCAAAGTATAAAAAACTGTCAAAAGAAAACGATTTTATTAGATCTTTCATTGGTGCAAAGATGCTTTTTGGGTAATTTCTTATATTTAAAATAATTACAAAATTCAAGTGATTCGCATGGGACAAAAAACGGAAATGGCTTTTGAGGTCGACCACAAATTTCTGCGGATCCAGAGGCTATATTTTAGTGCAGCTAATTTAATTATAATTGTTAATTATTAATTTAATTTAAGTAAAAAGTGATAGTACACATTCTATATGGGTTTTCTCAGTGCAATGAATACTCATGACTGCGACGAAACTTTTCCTTCTTACATCTTTTGTTTGCCTTGTCTTATCTTTAAGCCGCCTCCCCTTGTGGGGCTTCTGAACTCGAAGCAGAAGAATCGGTCAAGTTGAGCAAGTGAACCTCTATACTCTGTTGCTCTGAAAAAAGGGTATGCTGAAATCAACCAGCATGCGCTCGTTTATTTCCTTTTCAACTTAATCGTTAAATCGTTAAAGCAAACAAACAGACTGTCCACTGTGTGGGAGACGGAGCATCATATGTAAAGAGGGATTCTGTGGGCTAAGCGAGAGACCGCTAACTGCATGTAAGCAAGAAGAAGCAAGAAGGCCTATGCATGCGGAAGAAGAAGACGAAGATGAGCAATCCACTCAATGCGATTCCCACTCAATGGAAGTCAAGTGCTCAGGGCGAAGTACGCACCGAAAGCAAAGAGAGCTTTTGTATGCATGTACTGTTTGTTGGTGTTGATAAGTAAAACAAACTGTGCAGAAAGATTGTGGCCCTGCCCAAAGAGAGAGAGAGAAAGAGGCACATTGAGCGAGAACTGTTGACATGCGAAGAGTACGCTGCTAATTAATCATCATCATTAGCGGGCACATACCAATAACAACAGAGCCAATAGAAAAAAGAAAGCCCGTGTGGACGCTGACGTCAGAGTGCAGAGTTAAAAGGTATTTATTACTACAGAAAAGAGTTTCCGATCTCATGCAAGCTGTCCCGTGATTCTATATCCATCGATATAAACCAGTTTCCAACGGCTGGCCACGTTGTGGAGTGCGAAATAAACAATAACACTAGTGCCACCAAGCTAACATAAACAGTGCTTTTTATTGGTCCATTATGCGACCTTGGGGGCTTTACATGGGTGCGTTCGAAATAATTAACCCACAGTGGAAAAGGTAACAGCAGGAGTACGCTCTATCCCCTGCCTCTAGAAGTGTTTATTCAGAATGACTTAAAATTTTTGTATTTTTGTATCAGTGATTCACTGCTAAGATTACACAATTATCGATTGAATTTAACTAAAATGTTGACATTTATGCATTACGTATACGTAATTTGCCCATAGAATATGTGGAATACATTGTACGAATTATACATTCTACATGTATATTGACAAAATGCGTAGACCTAAAAGTATGCAACAAATGTAGCAATCGATACATATTTTTTATCTGTTTGCAGAAAATTGATTTATTTAAATTTAGAGCATTTTAAAAGTAAATAAAATACGACGAGCTCTGCTTCGAATGAAGGAAGGCTGGAGCGGTATTCCAGAAAATCAAGCAGGTGGAAACAGTAAAAATAGAAAATGTCAAGGGCAGATTGGTAAAGATAATTAGACGAGAAGTCCATTGTAATGCAAATATTATGCTAATAATAGCCTTAAATCAGAACGCAAGGAGATAAGAAAGACCAAAATAGAAGAGGGAAAGTAGATAACTAAATTGTTTACCAAAAGCTAAAACTTTACTTATGCTTACATAGGAATACTTTCTCGATTTCTCACTTTTACTGAATCCAAATAAACAGAATACATCAAAGAAATGGAATTGCTTTTGAAAATTTGATATCTTCAGTCATTTCCCAATTTTAGGGGTTCTCTAAGTTGGAAACTTACCCCTCTGGAGTCTCTGAAGAGGATGGCTGCATGGTGTGGATCTAGCGTTCCATCTCCTCGCAGCCCACGACCGGCCGCTCCAACTGAGGCACGTCGTTTCTCCAAATCCGCGGATGCACGACGCATATGAGCACCTTGAAGTAAAGAACATACGAGTTAGTCCTATATATCAGGGTACAGAGTACAGTAAGAGTAAAAGAGCGTAACCCTAATAGAACTGCAAGTACCACACATCCTCCCCCCGGTCATTCCCTAAACCCTTTACCTTCTTTGACTATACGATCGTAGATCTTGTAAGTGGCCCCGCAATCGTCCAGAATGCGATTTGGACGACTGAGCGTGTTCACGTCCAAGCTCTTGGACCTGGTGCGGAAATTCTCTTGCGGATCGTTCTGCGGCGATGTGCAGACACTCTGGGCGTCGTGGTGCTTCCTGGGCCAAACGTGAATCTTCTTGCCAAAGTGCTTGAGCATCTCCTGGATCGAGTGGTGGTGGTGGTGATGATGATGGTGATGGTGCTTTCCATGCTTTCCGTGACCCTCCTTGTGCGGCGAATGCTGTTGCTCCGGCTCATCGACGCTGAGGCTCTTGGCGAAAGACGAGTTGTCGAAACGATGCCGCTGGAAGGGTCCGCTGCCCGTGCCGCTGTCCGTGCTATTCATCGACTGGCGGGAGGAGTCCCCGCCGAAGCTGTAATCGTCGAGCGAGTTGTGGGCGGCAGTCACGCGGTGGAAGATCGAAATGGCCGTGGGCCGTTGCGGCTGCCCGCTGGCACCCGTGTGGGTGAAATACTGGTGGTCCGCCTGGCTCTCGTAGATGTCGTCGAGATCGTGGGGAAAGTAGCCACCGCCTCCTACTGGGGCTGTGGGTGGCGGGGATCCGAAATCTGGACCCGCACTACGACGCATGCTCTGCAAGATGGAATTATAATGAATTAGCTGATTCTTGGAATACAGTTCAATTGGTTCCTTGTCAACTTACGCCATAGATTGCCGGACTCTGAGATCTTTCCAGAAAGCTGCGCTTCGAGGAGGGCGTCCGCTTCAGACTGCCACTGGTGGGGTGCTGCTGGTGTGCGTGGTGCGTCGGCGAGTTACGGTAGTGGCTATGGTTGTGGTTGGCCAGGGACCTGTGCGCATCGGGAACCGCCTGTGGCTGCGAGTGGCGTTCGCTCTGCCACTGGGCGTAGGCGCTGCCTGTGACACCGCCCATGCCTTCACCGGCTGCTGTTCCACCTGCTCCTCCGCCGCCCGAGTTGTTGGAGTTTGAACTGGAGCTGCTGGAGGAGTCAACGCTGTAGAGGCGACTGCCCTGCGACGAGGCATCGGCGCTGCTGCCGTAGCCGGGATAAATGTGGCGGGACCAGCTCTCGCCGCCGCTCAGCTGTTTTTCCACCGCGTGCTGGCGGTACAGGTGCGTAATTCCATGCATGGTTCTTCCTCTTTGTCTCTTCTTCGATTTGTGTTTTTAATTATTTTGTCGTTAGATATATTATAGTTATATATTTTGTTACACTTTTGCAACGCAGTGTAAACAAGTGTTTGTGTATGTTATTGTTGCCTTTGCAGCTGTCGCTCTCGTCAATTTAGTTGGAAAATAAAAACACTGCGATCAGGTGTCGCCGTCTCTGTCTTGCCTTGTTAAAGTCACATAATCCTTCAACTGTAAATAAAAATCACATCACTCATCACTCTCTCGCACTCTTTCGTCCACGATGCACTTGGAAAAAGGAGGAGAGAACGAGCGATGCAGCGCAAAAAGCTCTCTCGATCTCGCTCGCTCCTAGGTTGAACGCACTGAAATTAAGTCAAAGCTGCTGCATTTTATTTGTTCTTGCTTTTTATTGTTGTTTATTTTGTTTTTTTTTTTTTTTTGTTTGCCACGACGCGTTTATTTGTTTTCAATATTTTTAAGCACTTTTTGTCTTTTTACTTTATTAGACTCTGCCACTAATTAATGAAAAACACACTTTTGCAGCAGTAAACATTATTTGAACTTGATCAGGTTTGCCACCCACAACAAAAATAACACCCATAGCGCAATGTCAATGCGCGAATAGCCTTATTGGCACTAAATTCATTTAATTATCTGACTTGTTGACTTAACGTTGCGGTTGCAAGAAAAAATATAAACTCAATCGATCGTCACGATTGCCGCAGAAAAGCGTTCACGACACTTGCGTTGCCTGCACACGCTATGCAACCTGCACTGAGTTCAGGGTTATTTCTAGGCGGTGGCAGCGACCCAGGCGACGAAGATCGCAGAGTTCAATGCGTTGCGGGCAATGAAACTTATGTTTTATACATTTTTTGAAAAACTATAATTACCCTTTGTTGAGCAAAGGAAATCTTTAAACTACTATAAGAATAGGATAAATTCACATTTAAAATATATAGCAAAATAATTCTAGGCTTTCACTGCAATGTACGTGAAACTTTTGTCGCGTGGCTGGCTTTATACCGTTTTTTATCTCTGATATGCTCTCTCTCTCTCTGTGTGTGTTGTATGCTGCTCTTTTTCTAGGCACGCCGCGCTTGCGGTTCTCTCGCTGGCACCCAACCCCTCTATGATAATTAAATTATTTTATAATGCAATAAATAAATGTAGCGCATCTGTTCGCCAGGGGGTGCAGTGCAGGCTGATAGCTTTATAAATCGCCCACACACACGAGCACACAGTTGCGGGCAAATCGTATGCTTGATTTAAATAAACGGCCTTTATCTTTATCGCTGTATAAAAACAAACAGCAAAACAGCAGAAGAGCGCGGAGGAGAGCGCAATGAAGTTGATGAAGGGGCTGGAGGAGGAGCGGGCGGTCAAAGCAAAGCGAAGAAAAATAAAGTTAAGTTCTATTTTTATTATCAGTGCAACAACAAATAACAACACCGAGCGGTTTCGAACGAAGAAAGACGAAGACGACGCGTTAATAAAAATGGGAGAGAGATACAGAATAGAAAGGCAGAGCAGAGTCGAATATTGATTAACCTTTTAAGAGACTTGCAGGGAATATTTCACAATATATTTAATGCAATTTACATGACAGCCGTAGAACAAAGAGAGCTCGGTTCAATTGAGGTTAAGTTGCCGTCAGCCGCCCAGAGCCGCCACCCGCTTTTTTGTCCCGCCGCCTATATACCGTAATCAAATTTGTATAAATAATGCAAAATATACATATATGTATGTATATTTGTATGTTCGGTACGGCCGGCCGCCCACGCACTCACACACTCGCACAGTCTACACACACAACCGCTCGGCTAAAAGTTCGTTGAAAAAATGAGAATGAAAAGAACAAACTTTGCACGTGCTGCCGCCGCCGTCAGCGTCGCTGCTAAGCGTAAACAAGTGCCAGCGAGAGATGTAGAAAGCGGATTTTGGCGAGCTAACAGCAGTCTGTTAACTATAACAGTGCTGCTGCTGGTGAGGCGTCCTTGAAGCCAACCCCCTATACATATATGTATATATAAATGCAAAAGCGAAAGTGAAAGCATGGAAGTTGCAATGAATTGAATTGAACCATTTCCCCCACTCGGCGGTAGTGCAGTTGCCGCCACTTAAGCATGCGGAATCCATTAGCGAATAGGGCATCATAAAATCCGTCCGAATTAGTTGGGGGGCATCTCAAGGGCACACACATAAATCGGTTATGGGCCAGAGTATAAAAGAGAAAGAATACTCTTGGGAAGCAAACACAAAAAAAAAAATACAGCATGTGTGAACAAATCGACTTGAAGGCGTCACTTTCTAGTATAAAGGATTAAAATAAGCCTCCGAGTATGCAATACTTGAAACGTGATGCGATAAATATGGCAAATGGAAGGGAAAAAACGTTGCCTGAGGGTCAACTTCCTCTCAAACTTCCCAAATGCTGAGTGCGCCCAGTTATAGGGGCGCATGCGTGGAATAAAAGTGAAAGTAGACAGTACATAAGAGTATTCTATACTATATAGGCCCCTCGTGCTCCTGTGTACCCTACAGTTGGCTCCAAAAGTCTGACGCTTGCCAAGAATTGCGCATTTAGGTCAAGTGTGTACGCAAAAGAACTTTGATTAGCGAGTGCAGAATTTTTAAATGCCAAATTATCAGCGCCAGCAGACCCCCACTAGACAAGCCCTGCCGATAAGCAAACACATACTCGTACTACGTACTACGCCACGGGTAAATAGCTTTTTTGGGTGATAAGAGCTCCAGCTTGTTTGCTTGCCTTGGGCCTATCGCAAAAATTAATTTGATTGACATGGCAACTTGGACATCGCACAATAAATAAAGACCGAAAAAAGGTGCAAACAAAATGTTTAAGCGCCGCCCACCAGGCGTATGCTTAATTTACCTTCAACAGCCCCTGAGTAACTGTAAACAGTTCTGCTTGTTTTTCCCTCTGTGCTTTCGTTTCATTTTCATTATTATTATTTACGTATATATATATATTTTTTGACTGCGCTTTGCGAAATTCGCTCATCATTTACCTTGAACGTGATTGGATATTGGATATGTGTGTAAATAAATATCGCAATATCCCCCCAATTACCGCTATCATCATCACTCGCTGGTCATGCGGCCAGCCAGCGTTCTGACGGATATGGATATGCAAAGGTGTGCGATTTTGGTCGCTTCTTTTTCAGCATTTTTGGGGGCTCCTCCAATTTCGCATTTAACTTCAACACTAGCTCGCTTTTGTGCTGACTTTTGTTTATTGGTTTTCTCTACAGAAGGCAAAGAACCCGATGAATCAGCTCAGAATAGGAGAATAGCTCGTGAATCGGGGGTATTTATGGGCAAATATTTGAACTTGCGAGAGGTTAAGTAATGATATAACAAGTGTTTCAATTTCGGATTGGGTATCGTTTCGATAGCGTTTCCATATCAGCCGAACATGGCAAAGTTTTAGTTTACTGTCCAAATCATAACCTCATGGGGTTATATTTTCTCAACATTTCTATAATATTGGATAATATCCCTGGGAGTAATTTATCGGTAAAATGACTGTGCATGTGAATTCCTTCATGTTAAATGGAGAATGTAAGCCCATATCCCGTGATTTGGTCATGTTACTATCTTAATATATCTATATAGGTATATATATATGGTAGTTAAAACTATTGCCAAATAGGAGAAAAGTCTCTTTGAAATTTTG